TTCAGTGCTTGCATCTGCAATTGAGTTTACTGAATGTGACAGGGTCAACAACAGACTTAATGCCGTAAGTGGCATTTTGTGTAGACTTTGAAAGTGATGCATGACTATTAATAGAACTGCAATATATATATATAAAAAGTCATATATATGACTTTATTATAAAGTCATTGTTTATTTACATGCATTTTTGGAAAATTTAACATGTAAAAAATTATTCAAAATGAATGTAAGCCAATAAATTACAAACATATTTCATCCTATGTCACTGCTACATTTTTAGGTTTTCTCATAAGATGACATGTCACATATTACCAAGGCTATTGGAAAAATATTGCTGAGGGAACAGTTTTTTATTGTCTTCTTTTTTGCAGTGCTGGAAATTGAACCTAGGGCCTTGCAGCACTAGGCAAGCGGTCTACCAGTGAGCTATACACTCAGCCCTGTGTTAACTGTTCTGTATGTTGTGTAATTGCTTCTTTGCTAGCTACACTTGTGAAATGCCTTATTCCTTACCATATGTTCCTGGGGACAGTACTACTGCTGTTTAGAAATACTGCTTTATTATAAATGATGGAGTCATTTGGGCTAGGCTAGTGTTCTGTAACTAAACATAGAAATATGATTGCATAACCATTTTGTTGTCAGAGTAGAGTAACGGTACCTTTTATAGTGAGTTTTTTTAGCGATTGAAAATGAACTTTCTTCCTTGATTACTGAAAATCAACATGTGTCTTGCAGGGTTTTATATAAAAACTTTTGGAAGATGAAATTATAATTGTATAAATATGTAAATATGAAAATGCACGTCTTTATATTTTTATGCACAGACAGTCCACTGATGCTTGGCAGTATATACTTTGTTGTTGTTTTTGGAGACAGGTCTCTCTGTAGCCTGGGCTGGTCTTAAACTCAAGATCTTCCTGTTTCAGTCTCAAGTGCTGGGATTACACCAGCCATGTCTGCTACAAATTGAAACATTTTAAAATGCATAATGTAAGGAATTACATAACTAATTGTAATTCTTTCTTAATTTTTAATATTAAGGAAAAATAACCCTTGATACAAGATAGGTATCTTTTCAGTCTCCTGAGAGAGATTTTTTTTTTTAATTTTTATTTTTTTATTATTCATATGTGCATACAATGCTTGGGTCATTTCTCCCCCCTGCCCCCACCCCCTCCCTTACAACACACCCTACCCTCTCCCTCTCCCCCCCCACCCCCTCGCTACTCAGCGAAACTATTTTGCCCTTATCTCTAATTTTGTTGAAGAGAGAGTATAAGCAATAATAGGAAGGAACAAGGGTTTTTTCTAGTTGAGCTAAGGATAGCTATACAGGGAGTTGACTCACACTGATTTCTTGTGCATGTGTGTTACCTTCTAGGTTAATTCTTTTTGATCTAACCTTTTGAGAGAGATTTTTTGGTTGTTTTATTTTGTTTTGGTGCTGGGAATTGACCCCAAGGCCTCATATATGCTAAGCACATGCTCTAAAGCTGACCACCCCCAGTCCCTAGAGATGGTTCTTAATCCTTTGGACTACCAAAGATTTGTTAACTAGCAGAAAAAGTGAATTAGAGTTTCTAGAAGGGTATAGTCAATACTGTGTGTCTAAAAGTCAACCAGAGGCATTGGAGACTTGATTTCAAGATAATCTTGAAAGCACATACCCTAGAATTGATTATACCTTGTTTTGTTGCAACTATATACTTAGTAAATAAGGAAATGATGTCAGTTTAATGTGGAAGTAGTGTTGGTTCATAGGCAGTTTTCTCAACAGTGTTAATATGTAAACTAAAATGAGGAAAGACGTTTCAATTACACAGGTAGATTCAGTAATATATGAAGACTTCACAAAAGCTCTGCAAATCTTGCAGGAATGATATAGTTTAGTGTATGTCTTAGCTATTCTGGGAGCTCCCAGAACCACTGTGCTTTACACTGTCAAAAACACTGTCTAGAATCTCAAAGCCATGTGCTCCATGTTTATAAAGAAGATGGCCCAAAAAAAAAAAAAAATTCTCTACCTGAGAATTGTATTTTTAATTTTGTTGAAACTTGTCTTAAAATGTCTGCAAACATGTACACTTAAAAGAGAAGTACGTTGATAAAACTCCAAAGGGAGTATTGACTGGTAACTGTTCTAAATCTTAGTGGAGATTTCATCCTAAGAAGGATAAGTAAAAACTTATTTTGCAGTGTTAGAGATAAAATCCAGGGCCTTGAGCGTACGAGGTAACTGCTCTTCCCCTGAGCTATGCCCCCCCCCCGCCCCCGCCCCGCATCTACCCCCCCAGCCAGAGATTTAATTTTATTTTAAAGTCAATGATGTTTTTGTTTGGAATCTCATTACAAAATAACAGGTTTGATGGCTCTATGTCCAGTCTTATTTCTACCATTAGTCCTGTTGCTATTTTTTTGGGGTGATTTTATGGAGCATGAGGTTTTTTTCTAGCAGCAATCATATGTTGCAGAAGTTTCTGATCTCTCTCTATCTTCCCCCCCCCCCCACCAACACACACTCACTCACTCACTCACTTGAATCCCTGTGCTTGACTTAACAGATGGCCTTATTCTAGTGCTCACGTTTGTAGTGAATATGATGCTTTCTAATAAAAATTAATGTTGAGCAATCCAGGTTTGATAAATGAGGGAGATGGTGAAATGACATACGGAGGCTTCTTTAGCTCAAGTACTTGGATATTTTACTTGGCTATTCTGCATTGGACATCATTATTTTATGGCCATTTACTTTGCAATATTCTGAGCATTAATAATTTATAAATGGATATGATAAAATAGAGCCCAACTTTGAGAGGCCCCATATTGTCACTTCATGGTACCATCTGGTTGTCTGTTCCTTGTGCTAAGAGAGGATTGGAAAACTACAGCCCATGGGTCGAGTCTGGCTTACTGCCTGGTTTTGTAAATAAAAATTTGATTGCTTCATAGCTATGCTCATTTGTTTATATATTGTCTACATCTGTTTTTATGACATAGTATTGTCCTTTGTTAAACAAGTAGGCAGGCAGAAGGATAGTAATAGTGATCAATGCTTTGATACAACTAAACAATAATAAGTATATTTTTATAATATCAATCTTCAGTGAGTACATCATATTATAAGTCATTTTGGGTATGACCATTGTGAGTGAGCATTGTTGGATTTAAGCCTGTTTCATAAACTTCATTTTTCTGAGATGACTGAATACTATTTGCTTTTTTGTGACCTGATACTGAGAGCTTACCTGCTAAATTCTTTACTTGTGGGTGTCAGTAAAGTCATTATAAATGCAGTAGATTTAGGTAGATATGAATTTAGATGTGGCCCTGAGTTCATTTTCCAACACTTCAACAAACAAGAGATAGATGTGTTTTAAAACAAAGAATAATCTGAGTTAAAAAAAAAAATAACTGCTGCTTCTATAGTAGGAGCGACAGGTAGATGTGGATTAGTTTCTGATGAAAATCAAGAGTAATCTTGTGATATAGTGGGGATATGTAACAATATTTTTTAAAGATTGACCTTGGAGTGTTTTAAATATTATTTGAATTGATAATTTTTCTTCAACAGGATTTTTAAAATTGTAATTCCTTGTAAAAACGAGAATGTAAAGAACCTGAATATACTCATTATTCCTTGGTTATTAAATGTGGTTCCCTGGAAACAGAACATCATACCTCTCTGTTTAAATAACTGGAGTAATTTTAAAAGTTAAAATTTGATGCTGAAGATCAAACCCAGGGCTTCGCTCACGCAAAAAGCACAGGCTATTCCACTGTGTGACACTCTCAGTCAGAATTTAAAACATTTTTAAATTTAATGTTTAAATTTTTAAGTGACATTAAATAAAAAGTCTTGGGTATTAATAAAGTTTTGTTCTCAGTTCTCATTAATATTTTTTAATGTCTCATGGACAACATCAGCTTTTCTGAATATATATTAATACATGCTTCCTTTTTCTCATGTATACCTTATTTAGCCCTTCCTTGAGGCTTAAAACAAAAAAAGTTGAAAAAACAATTTCAACAATTGTTGAAAAACGTCTTTCAAACTAATTTTTAGAACAGTCCTGGCATAAAGTTTTGACTTATTATAAATGTAGCCATATCAATGATGGATGCTTTGAATGTGTTCTGAATATTCTGTGGTAATTCTATAAGTATCGTTGTAGGACTGTGTGTGTGTGTGTGTGTTTTGTGTTTGGCACTTTAAGATCTTAACACACAACTATCTTGATTTTGTGTATGCTTATTATTTGTGCTTCTGATGATTTTCTTTGTGAAAGTCAGTTTGAAAATTGGTTCATTTGCCTCTTCATTTATGTTCTTAACCTAAATTATCATCATGTGAATTACAAATTGCCTTTTCTATAAACTTTTAAAAGCCATCACAGTCACATTGCCTTTTAAAATTTTTTTGGATTATAAGTTTAAATTTATTTTAACTGGTAAGAATTGCACAAGTTTATGAGGTACTATGTGATATTTTGATACATGTACACATTGTATAATATTCAAATCAGGTTAACATATATCATTACTTATCCTTTATAGTAAAAATATTTAAACTATATTTTTGAAAAATACAGTACATTATTATCTATAGCCTTCCCTCTGGGCAGTAGCATTTATTGTCTATTAAAAGTAATGTTCAGCTCTAAAGTCTGGATTTTTAAAAATGAAAATGTCGTATATTTGATGTCCGTAGCAAAATTGCTGAAAAGTTCGTTATTTCTTAAGTAGCCAAAATATAACATGTAGCGATGACAACTGATAATACTAAGAAATATTAACCATCATTTGTGGAGGGGGTTGCTTCGAAGAAGCAGTTTCTTTGGTCAGATTGTTTGGTAGAATACTTTTACGAATATTTGGAAGAAGAGTAGGTCAATGAAGAATTGGGAGGCTTTTTTAAAATGTAAAAATATTTCATTTTCAATATTGTATTTTGCAACTCAGTGTCCTGATAGATTTCTGTTTTGATTTTCTGCTGACAGGTCACATTTAGGGCAGGCAAAACATAAGGGATATAGCCCTCCTGAGAATAGAAAATCTAATTCTAAGGCACCCAAATTGCAGTCTAATACTACTTCTGAACTGACAAGGGGACACCTTTCTAAAAGGTAAATTTTCACATTGCTTATACATTTTCAAGACACTTGCTTTCCAGTCATTGCATAATACTAAAGCTTACCAGGTTATCCCAAAACATTATGACACATTTTCATTATTTTCTGAGTATACCTTTCAGGGTTAATAATTTATCACCTTGGCAGTGATATCAGTGCAGTATGCTCTCTAGACAACCATTATAGGTGGCATCTAAAAATGCCACTAACCATTTTCTTCAATTACTGTTGTTAGAGCCATGGTTCAGGTCAGTGATTAATAAGATCTAATTGGTAGGCGTTTTTGGAAAGTAATGTTACTGTGAAGAATTTCGTAGTGTCACAGGATAATTTCTTATCTTTTTAAAAGTACATATATTAATGCTCATTTCTTCTAAGCTTTGACAAAGCAGTTTGTCAAATTCATTGTGAACAGACTATCAGTATTCTAGTTTTTACTGGTTGTGAGCCACTAAGCATTCTTTTTCTTATAATCTTAACTCTTTGTTTTGCGGTTAAGAGTGTTAGAGTCAGTAATCTCGTGCTAAAGAATACTCTTACGTACCAATCAATTATTTACCATGCAAACAAAATAACACTTTCATTTTTTTTCCTTCCACATTTGAGCTATTTGAAACCTCTGTTTTTTAAATAATGGACTTACCAGGAAAATTTTTGCCTTCCCCTCCTTTTTTTTTTTCTCCAAGTGCTTATTTGCAGACATTTAAGAAGTTAGGAAATGAGTATTACATGCCAGGTTTACTTATGACAGGCTGCTGCTAACTGTTTTCTTATCTAACCTCTTAGAAGCTGCAGTTCGTCATCTGCTGTCACAGTTCCACAATCAGAGGATCCAGACAGAGCCAATACTTCAGGAAGGCAAAAAACGGGGCAGGTGCCTAAGAAAGACAATTCTCGAGGAGTGAAACGCAGTGCTAGTCCAGACTATAACAGGACCAGTTCTCCTAGCTCTGCAAAAAAACCCAAAGCACTTCAGCATATTGAGTCTCCCTCAGAAACAAATAAGCCACATAGTAAGTCAAAGAAGAGACACTTAGACCAGGAGCAACAACTGAAATCTGCACAATCACCATCAACAAGCAAGGTTTATACCAGAAAGAGTGGGGCCACTGGTAGTTCACGGAGTCAGAAAAGAAAGAGGACAGAGAGTTCTTGTGTAAAGAGTGGTTCTGGGTCCGAATCAACTGGTGCTGAAGAGAGATCTGCAAAACCTACCAAGCTGGCTTCAAAATCTGCCACCTCAGCCAAAGCTGGGTGTAGCACCATCACTGATTCTTCCTCTGCTGCCTCAACTTCTTCCTCATCTTCTGCTGTTGCCTCGGCCTCTTCCACTGTACCACCAGGTGCCAGGGTGAAACAAGGAAAAGACCAGAACAAGGCCAGGCGTTCCCGTTCGGCATCCAGTCCCAGTCCCAGAAGAAGTAGCAGGGAAAAGGAACAGAGTAAAACTGGTGGCTCTTCAAAATTTGATTGGGCTGCTCGTTTCAGCCCTAAAGTTAGCCTTCCTAAAACAAAACTGTCTCTTCCAGGGTCTTCTAAGTCAGAGACATCAAAACCTGGACCTTCTGGATTACAGGCCAAATTAGCAAGTAAGTTTCTGGAAAGACCTTTTTCTGTAGTTAAAGAAAATCTCTTGGTTGGTCAAAGTAAATTATGCTTTCGAGTTTTATTTTTTTAGTCTTGACTCGGTCTTAGATTTATTACTGAATTTGTATATAACAATATATGGAAATTGATAATACCGTTAGCTGAAGTATTCTGTTTTAAGAAATCCAAAAATGAGGAAATAGAATAAGGAAGCTTTGTTTGTTTGTTTGTTTGGTCTTTTGAGACAGGGTCTTGCTATATAGCCCCAAGCAGCTGGCCTCAAACTCTGGATCCTCCTGCCTTGGCCTCCTGAGTGCTGGGATTAAGGGAGTATGCCACCATGCCTGGCACAGGAAGTTTTTTATTTTACCTTGGCAGTATTGGGGTTTGAACTCAGGGCCTCACATTTGCTAGGCAGGTGCTCTACCCCTTGAGGCACTCCATCAGCCCAGGAAAATTTTTTTTTTTGACTGTCTTTCCTTTGGAGTGGTTTTAGATGGACATTTTGATAAAGCTAGAACATTTTATTATTACAGGATTTTTAAATAGTGTCTACTAGCATTCTTGTCAAAATACTGAATCAGATTTAAGCTCTGTTTAATTTAACACTACCATCTATAACTACTTTGGTTGATTCAACGGTAGTTAACTGTTGAGAAGAATACAAATGGACATTATATAAAAATCTTTTAACACATATCTTAGGGTTGTTACCAAAGTAACATCTTTTAGTTTGAACTTGTAGAACTTTGTCCCATTTGTTACATTGAATATGTAGCACATGTGTATTAAAACGTTTCAGTTTAAAGGTACTGGAAATGGGTTACTACTTTCTACATTGGTATTTTGAAGTTAAAAGAAAATAAAAGGCCAGAGTAAAAAAAGTACAACCCTCTGTCCCGCAAAGGTTTCTTGACAATTGAAGTTATTTTTGTCAGCTCTTAAACACTTTCTCCCCTCTTTGCTTTTAAGTGCAGTAGAAGCATGTGTGTATCTCCATGTGGGTGTATCTATTTAGTTGGGATGTAAACCCCTTTGCTAGTGGATTGCATTGAGTTTACATTGAATTCTAGGGGATTCACTCCTTCACTTAAAGCGCTCATGCCATTCAGGTCTTATTTCTAGGATAGTTCTGGGACCAGGGGACAGCAGATGGTACTTGAGTGTTATGGCCTTAACTCATCTTTGGAGATCAGCTTTTCTTATAGGCTGACTTTTAAAAGAATACCTGGTCCTACCAGTGGCTGATTAATGTGGCTTCCTTGGTTGTGAGGGAACTCTCACTCAGGAGACATCAAGATTTCTGGCAGTATCGCTGAACCATGAACAAACCAGTCCAGATGATTTTATTAAACCTACTCTACACATGGTCACAAATTCATTTAGTATTTTATAACTCATTTCATGGGCTGGAAGTGTGGCTTAATTGGTAGAGTGCCCGAGTTTAACTCTCAGTACTGTCAAAAAGAAAAAAAGTCCCAAAACACAAAATCAAAAAGTCATTTCATAGTTTTCTTCACTTCACAGAATCTGTGTATTCTGCTGTTACTATATCGCATTTCCAGTCTCATTGCCACTGTAATTCTAATCTCTTAATTATAGCCTAGCTGCTGGAACAAGAGAAGGAACCAGCATTTGCTTAGCAGCTAGAAAGTGCCATGTGTTTTGCATACATAGTCAGTGTTCTTTTCAAAATGGTAGTGCTTTAGTATAGCTATTTGGAAAAATGTATTCTAAACAGGTGAAATAACTCCCCGGAGTAACATTTTGTAAGTGGAAGAAACAGGAATGTATTGTGACTTTGAACCCCTTGCTTTCTCATGCACTTACTTTTTAACTTTTTTTTTTTTTTCTTAATCTATGTTAGAGCTTGTGTTTTACTGTTATAAAATGATTGGGTCATTTGAATCTACAGAGGAAAGGGGATTTTGATTCTTTGCTGGTGTTGATTAATTTTAGGAGGCAGCTGTGTTCACCACTGTACCTGTAGTGCCACATGGCCTGGTCTTTAGGGATGAGTACTTTGCATGTCCCAGGATTCCTATTACACCACTCACCATAGATTCGCTTCTTTACAAATAAGTGAAAAATCTCACAAAAAATAACAGCAAATGTTCATTGCACTTGAACATCCTTGACAGTTGTTCTGAATACGTTATGTGGATCACCATCATTAGCTTTGTATGGCAAGTATTACTACTCCCAGCTTATAGATCTGAAAAGGACAGTTGGTCAGGTTGATAGAGCCCAGAGTCAAACTCAGGCCATTTAGAAGTTGGTCACGAGTATAAAATGCACAGGAGTGAGCAGATGGGGAGAGCTAAGTCTGAAAAGGATTCTTGGAGTCAGATAGGGTGCATCTTAGGCATGATAAAATGTGTACCTTCGGGAAAATGATTGTGTAAGACACCAGAGGCTTGCCAGATAATTTTATTTAAGGATATAAAGGCAAACTGAGTTTTTATAGTGATGTCTGGATTTAAAAATAATTGTAAAGGTAGAGAATTCTTAACCTAGAGCCCATCTTTTGGATTTAAAACCTATGTCTGCCATCTTACCAGGTGTGGTGATCACGGGAATGTTTGTAACATTTTTATTGTAAAATGCACATAATAGCTATTTGAAGAATGTGCAGCGACTTAACATGTACTTAGTACATGGGCATCACAAAATTTAGAATACACAACTGAAGTTGAATGTCTTTAAGGCAGAAAACATACTGATCACAAAGTTGAGAATGAAGGACCCATGAATCCTAACTGTTGATCAGTTTAAGGTAGTTAATTTTAGATTAAGAAGACTTAGATTTAAAGTTCTGTTATCTTGTGCTAGTTTTGTGAAGTTGAACAAATAATTCAACTATACTTACAATGCTAAATTTATCCCAAATCTTACTTACAAAATAAGTCATTGTCAACCAAAAAATAAGAGAATAAATGTATGAACAACTTTGTAAAATTAAAGTACCATGTAATACATCAATTTATAGTGGTGTATTCAGAGTTAGAGTCATATATTTGAAGCCTTTTGTATACATCCAGGTTTTTTTGCTTGTTAACATTAAAGGGCAAATTTAGGTTAACTAGGGGATAGGTTGACAAGCAGATTTCTGATTAGGATAAATTTGGAAAAATGTTAGTTTAAAAAAATGGAGTAGGCTACTTTTGTGAGATTACAAAAATATTTCGAATTGGGTAGATTATTTTTTTCTGGGTGTTTGTTTTCTTCCAACTTTAAGATTCAGTGAATCTGTTAATCAAATGTCATATGTTTCCTCAGGTAAAGGCTTATTCTAAGACATGGTTGGTGAATAGAAGATGTTCATAGTAAAGGGAAAAAAAATTTTGTTGAAATTGTAGAAATACTGGTATCTTCAAGATGCTTTATGGAAAACTGTTGTTCTTGGTGAAATATTATTCAAGGAGATTGAGGTTGTGCATTGACATACTTCATGACTTTCCAACAGTTTTCTGTAACTTTTGCTTAATCCAGTGTTTTGCAGACTTATTTGACTATCTGTTACTATCTAGGGAAGCCAGTACTGCTTCAGCAACTGACCAACAGCAATGACCAAGTTCCCGATGAGGAACCAGGGTAGCAAGAGCACTAGTGAAACAACTGCTTTAGTGATAGGATTCCTGAATCATTGCTGCTCACCAGCTGCAGAGTGACTAAAAGAGCTCTAGGAGAGGTCATCCTGTATCACTTGGTAGAAAGGTGAAAAAAGAGAGGGTTATGTGGTCATTTTTCGTATGCACTAGGAAGTTATTAGAGCTGTCTGTGAGCCATATCAGTAAAAGAAAATTCTGAAAATTTGTTTGACATCAATGTAAAACTGGTAAGACAGTATAATGATTAGGATGGTTTTAAGCTATTTTATTTCTTGACATACTGCGTTAAATAATTTCATAATTTGGCTTGCCAGTGTATTTTGCTAATCCTCTTTTGGCTAGCTTGCTTCTTTATTGATCCGTTTACCTGTTTGTTTATTTATTAACACTGGGCTGAACTCAGGGCCTGGCACTTCTTAGGTAGACCCTCTATTGCTTGAGCCACTCTACTGGTGCCTTTCGCGTTGGTTACTTTTGTGAAAGGATCTTGTATTTTTCTGGGGCCGGCCTGGACCATGATCTCCTGTTTGTGCTTCCCCATGTAGTAGCTGGGATGATAGTCATGTCTAGCCATTTGTCCTGAAGCCTCCCTGCTTCCCCACCTGCTGTCCACCCCCCCTCCAGTCTTTACCCCCTGAGTAGCTGGGATTACAGGCTTGAGCCACTATACCCAACCTAAAATAAGCTAATTAAAAGAAAAATTTAGTAATTTAAAAGTGAAAAGTACATGATAGAATAAAAAATAGTTAATCAAAATCTGCATAATTAGAAACAGAAAAATTTAAAGGTATTACATTTACAGTTTGATGTGACTATTTATAGTTCTAGTCTAATCTCCATTATCTAAAGTGGACTTCATGTACACAGTATGAATTAACATTTTAGTAGCTAGCAGCTTATTCCCATCTCAGGTTTCATACTCTCTTGGTGGCATGCATATAGCCTGTGACCATTATTAGAAGTAGATAAGAAATCAGGCAGATTCCAAATTCTGGGAAGATAATTCAGCTTGGATTAGGACTCTTTCTTTCAGTCTTAAATATGTTACTTTGCAACTTTATCTTTAGCATTGAGGGACCAAATAAGAATGAGTTGAGCAAGAGAGAAATTTAGATATTAGGTTCTTGGTTTTCTTTTGCCTGGAAGCGAGGGGGTGGGGGAGTAGGGGGGAGAAATGGCCAAACATTGTATGCACATACGAATAAACAAAAAAAGGGGGGAAAAAGAGATTCTTGGTTTTCATCAAGGATCATCCATATCGAGTTGAAAAAGTTTTGTCTTTGAACTTTAGGAGGTGTTTATTTGGCAGGTAGCTTAAAAGGAAAGGTTTGAGTGTCAAGAGTTCTCTATATTACAAGGCAACTGTTAAAATAAGTTAGCACTTTAATAGT